GATTTTCTTATACATTTTACTAATTTTCTTTCATTTCTGACACTTCTATTATAGAGAAAGGGCAAATAGCAATATTAAAATATTTCCTCTAATTCCCTTTTAATGTGCACGAATTTCATGCACCAGGCCACCAGCATTTTATAAAGAAGCAGTGTTCATTGTTTTATGGCAAGAAGTGTGGAAGAATGAATGAATCAAGAAAAACAGAACTACCCTGATATGGGAGGCGGGGCAATGGCAAGGTGCACTTTCTAGCTAATGTACTCTACATACCAGCTCAGCAAAATGACACACTTCTGCATATCCCAATTCTTCCAGGTTATTTATGAACAGTCAAAAAGCAGGAAGGTTAAATCCATAAATGTCAAGCCTACTGTTCTTATATAACAAGTAAATAATTTATCAATCTAGGAAGAGAAGAAAAAACTTTGTACAAATTTCCTCAAAATTATATACATACATGTTTTATAATCAGCTTTATTCACCTTATATAGCATCAATATCTCCTTCATCTTGAACAGCTTCATGTGTTGTTACATCTTCTCAATTTTAGTCTTAGAGGATTTTGAGAAAAAAGCAGCTGTTGTCAAATATACTTGTTCTATGGAGTTTCCTTTATGTATATGCTCCCTTCTGCTTCAAGTGTTTACTTTCCTCCTTTTATACTGCAGTTTCATACATCTATTTTGATTTTTAGTCTCTTTACAGTGGTCATATCATTCACTCACTTGATTCACACAAAATTCAACTAGGTGGACTCAGCCAGAGATAAGACTCTAAAGAGCGCCCTAACTGGTTTGGCTCAGTGGATAGAGCGTCGGCCTGCAGATTGAAGGGTCCCAGGATCGATTCCGGTCAAGGGCATGTACCTTGGTTGCGGGCACATCCCCAGTAGGGGGTGTGCAGGAGGAGGCTGATCAATGTTTCTCTCTCATCGATGTTTCTAACTCTCCCTCTCCCTTCCTCTCTGTAAAAAATCAATAACATATATTTTTTTTAAAAAAGAGAGATTCTAAAGAGCATCAGTGACTCTGCAGTCATTCCATTCAAGAAGGTTATACCCCAGGCCCGGCCAGTGTGGTTTAGTGGTTGAGCGCCAACCTATGAACCAGGAGGTCAAAATTCGATTCCCAGTTGGGGCACATGCCCAGCTTGCAGGTTCCATACCTAGTTGGGGGCATGCAGTAGGCAGCCAATCAATGATTCTCTCTCATCATTGATGATTCTCTCTCTCTCTCCCTCTCCTTTCCTCTCTGAAAACATTTTTTTAAAGGGTATGCCTCAGAGAGTTGAAGTGTGAGGTGTGTGATGCATTCCTATGATCTCAATCCCTGAGTGTCTCTCAGAGTGCAAGCATATCTATGTACTTATCAATCTAGTGTTGAAAAACTTAGCCTCTACAACACAAGCCTACTCCTCAGTTGGCAATCACCTGAAGAATCAGCCCAGCCATCTGTTCAAACACCAGACAACAAGTGAATACTTGACCTACTGAGAACTGATGGGAAAGTTTCCAATATGATCATGACTTTGTTGGGATTTTTCAAGGGGGATTTTAGTTATATGCGATTTTGCCTTATTACTAACTTTATTTTTTTTAATTATATTTTATTGTTTAAAGTATTACACATAGTAGTACATATATCTCCTTTTTTTCCCCATTGACCTTCCCCCAGCCTCCCCTACCCCGTCACATGCCCTCATCCCACCCCTACTAACTTTAAATTTAAGATTGCCAGCTCAATGTAGGAGGTGGGCCGGGTCACTGCAGTGTCTCAGCATTCGCTCAGGCATCTACTATGGCCCCAGGGTATTAGCAGTGTTACAATTCAGAAGTGGAACTGGGAGGAAGGACCTACACTTGAGTTCACTGTAAAATTGTTTTTTAAATTGGTGGACATTAAATTTGGATGTGGGCTGGAAAGGACTCCAACCTGATTACAGCCTTTCATCTCAGAACTTTCAAATTCAAGCTTTCAAATGTGTTAACTGAGTCCCACATTTCCACTGAAACCATCCAGCTTTCTTGGGCCTAGGAAATAAACGCTCTCTGCTTCTTCCTTTGAGTTGAATATCGGTTCTCTATATCTAAGATTTCTGGCATAGGGGCTGCAACATTCCCTAAATTGCAGTGTTTCTTCAGGTTTTCCCCATTTTATATAAGGAGGAAAAATTGGACACCATATGCCATCTTATCTGGCATTCCCTAACTTTCTCAATAAGGAATACATTTACATATAATAGTAAGCATGCTCAATTCAATTAAAATAATATACTATAGAAGAATGTTTTCGGCAAAACCACAACTATAGCTGAAAAGAAAATTTAGGTTGAGAATGGATTTTCTTGAACTTTCTTGCCAAATACGTAACACAATGGCAAGTCCCTGCCAGATGAAAATTCGTAGCTGGATTCATGATTTGAGCTGCATTTAATACCAAAGGGAGAAGAGATGACCAAACATCGTAAATTACATTTTTAAACATAGTAAATACCATCAATACTTTTCATGGATCATAAACAAACATTCTTGATGTTCTCAGATGTAGAAAGTTAGTTCTAGGACCTCACTGGTAAGCAAATTAAAATGCCTGGCTGGACGCTCAGCAATACTCCATCCAACACAGCCACACATTTGCTTGTGGAGTGAAGTATAAATAACATGGCAGGTAGCAGACTAGGTACACTGGCATTCACCCCAGTTACCCTTCTCTAAAAACTCCCCTGAATCTCTACAGTTAGAAGCCTGAAATGACATTTCTCAAACTGCATTCTTATTAGGTTCTGTCAGTGGTACCTACACTAGATTAAAAAGCAAGCAAGAAAGAATCTATTCTGTTCCTGGTGATGCCACTAACAATGTAGCAGTAGCTCTTGTAGTGGCCATGCAGCAGATAAACTGAGGCTACTGTGGCAGCTACATGAGAGTGGGCATGGAGGACATTGGGCTCACAATAGTGCTCACTCTTGCAGGGTCAACAGCTTTCTCTCGCCACTGGAACCACTGCTCTTCTATCCCTTCTAATATTTTGTAAACTAATTCCCTAAATCACACCCCTTTCATTTAAAACACCCAAATAGGTTTCTATCCTCCAGACAGGACACCAACAGATAAATTCAGGTAAATAAACAACTTATCCCTAGAGCCATGTTAAAAAAAATGCAAAAGGGAACACAGAGTTTGGTGTGATTGCATGTTTCTAATATCCTTCAAAGGAATTCCTAAACATTTATTTTTAAAAAATATATATTTTATTGATTTTTTACAGAGAGGAAGGGAGAGGGATAGTTAGAAACATCAATAAGAGAGAAACACCGATCAGCTGCCTCCTGCACACCCCCTACTGGGGATGTGCCCGCAACCAAAGTACATGCCCTTGGACTAGAATCAAACCTGGCACCCTTCAGTCTGCAGGCCGACGCTCTGTCCTCTGAGCCAAACTGGTTAGGGCTAAACATTTAATTTTTTAAAAATTGATTTTTAGAGCCCGGCTGTAGTGGCTCAGTGGCTAACCGTCAACCTATGAACCAGGTGGTCACAGTTCGATTCCCAGTCGGGCACATGCCCAGGTTGCGGGCTTGATCCCAATTGACGTTTCTATTTCTCTCTCCCTCTCCCTCCCTTTCTGAAATCAATTTAAAAATATATTTTAATTGATTTTTAGAGTGAGGGGGAGAGGTACAAGAGGGGGAATAGAGGGAGTGGGAGAGAGAGAGAGAAACATCGATAGGTTCTGCAACCTGGGTATGTGCCCTGACTAAGAATGGAACCTATGACCCTTGGGTGCACAGAATGGCGCTCCAACCAACTGAGCCACACCAACCAGGGCTATTTCTGAACATTTATTTCAGCTAGAATGAAAATAAATCTCTAAAAAGACTTGAGATATAGAAGAGCAAACAAAGAAATTGGTATGTGCATGTATACTGACAAACTAGTAACTTTTCTACTTTTCCCCCAGCTTTATTGACATACTTTTCTAATTTTAGAGTCTTAATATGTATGGTTACAAACAAGCAAACAATAATACTATTTAACAGCACAGTATTTTTAGAGTTTAAGTATTGTTTAGAAAAGAATTGATGATATTAATTTAACGATCTGTTTAGTTAAGGAGGCATGATAAAATTTCAAGGGGAACCATTTAAATAACAGAAACAAAGTATATAACTTCTAGTGGGGGTAAAATGAAAGAAAGATCAATCAATGGGGGGGTGCTTTGAGGGGGAGAAGAAGGGCAAGAAAAGAGAAAAAAAAGCAGGAACAAAAAAAAAGTACAATAGGAGAAATAAAACCCAGTATGTAAATAAGCACAATAAACATAAATAAACTGTCCACTTAAATTTAGCAGCTGGATTAAAATAAAACCTCGCCACTTTCTGAGTACAAAAAGAAATCTATAGCCCTAGCCGGTTCTGTTCAGTGGATAGAGCATCAGCCTGCAGACAGAAGGGTCCCTTAGATTCAGGTCAAGGGCACATGCCCTGGTTGTGGGCTCGATCCCCAGTAGGGGGTGTGCAGGAGGCAGCCAATCAATGATTCTCTCTCATCATTGATATTTCTATCTCTCTCTCACTCTCCATTCCTCTTTGAAATAAATAAAAATATATTTTTTAAAAAAACAAATCTATATACGTAAATGAGATCACAGTTGAAAGTAAACATGGGAAAACAAAAACAACATACGTGGCAAATGTTAACCAAAATAGAGCCAGCACACCTATATTAAGATCAGATAACACAGATTTTGAGAGAAAAAGCATTATTAGGAGACAGAAGATTTAAATATTCATGTCTCTAAAAGAAGCCTCAAAATATATAAAGCAAGATTTGACAGAATACAGGGAGCAACTGAAAAGTCAATCAGCATAGTTTTCAACAAATCTTCAATTATTTACAGGTAAAAAAGACAAAGCTGTCAAGATACCTGATATTAATTCTCTACCCAACAACTGAAATGCATTTTCTTCTCAAGCACAAATGAAAAACTGACTAAATACTAGACCATAAAGTAAGTCTTAACCATTTTGATCCAGACCACCATCTATGATTGCAATTCATTAGGTTAAAAGTCAATAATAAAAATTTGTTTATACCCCTGCCATTTGGAAATTAGAACCCATTCCTAAATAATTAATGGTTTAAAAAGGAATCATGGGAATAAAAAAAAAATACTTGGAACTCACTAATAAAAAAAATCTACATGTGACATATCTGTGGGATACAAGTGTCCCTTAAAGGGCTTATATTAGAGGGGGAAAACAAAACTCAATGAGCTATATGCACCTAACTTAAGAAATCAGACAAAGAACGGAACCGAAAGAGAATAGGAGAAAATAAAAAGCAGAAATTAATGAAACAGAAAACAAAGATACAATAGAGAGGTTCAACAAAGAGGGGAAATGACATGCTTAATCAAGAAGTATTTTTTAAAATTCAAATCTGGTTTTGAAATTTTATTCTCCAAGAAGCCTTTGTGTTACACAGCAATTTCACTACTTTTTAGTAATAGGTGCTGGAAAGTGAGTGGATTTACTTAGCTGACCTTTGAGGGGGAGGAGGAAGGAG